TCATATTTAACTGTAGGTGTGGCGCGGGCCATTGCTACCCACGCTGTCTGACAAGGTCCGGGCATGGGGAAATTTCTGAAAAGTCACAAAGCTCCATAGCTGGCTCCTGCTACTTCCTTTCATTTGTTTGTGGCAGTTATTGAAACCATGGAAATTTTCTATAAGCTTTAGAATAACACAATGAGTGTTGGCATCAATGCCAGTTTCGGTAATGCACACCTCAGTAGTTTGGAAAAATGTACCTTCCAACATGATTGATAATCAAACAATTTCCAATAATTCACCACGTCCTCCAATTTGTAGTACAGTTACCATGAGTAACGTTGAGTTTTCTAACAAACCACACTTGATAGAAGTAATGGAACTGAACCTGGCAAAAGTCCCCCACAAGAGAAGGCCCTGAGTTGCCCCGGGAGGTGAAATGGTCCAAAAGAAACACACCACATAGGAGAAAAAGGAACTCTTGTGCACTGTTGGTGGGAGTGCAAACTGGTCCAACCACTATGGAGAGCTGTGTGGAGATTTCTGGACCTACTAAACATAGAGCTTCCATATGATCCAGCAATTCCACTCCTAGGTATTTACCCAAAGGACACAGAAACATCAATTCCAAAGAGCACCTGCACTCCTATGTTTATAGCAGCACTGTTTACAATAGCTAAGCTTTGGAAACAACCCAAATGCCCAAAAATAGATGACTGGATCAAGAAGATGTGGTACATATATACCATGGAATATTACTCAGCATTCAAAAAAGATAAACACATGCAATTTGCAGCAACATGGATGGCACTGGAAGGGATCATGCTCAGCGAAATAAGCCAAAAAGAAAAAGAAAAATACCGGATGGTCTCACTCATAGCAGGAATCTAGAAAACTTAAATAAGGGACCAGGAAAATGAATATAAGAAAGTGAAAATCAAAATCAACAAAAAACTATGAACCAGAGACACTTTTTGGGGGGTGGGGGGCGGGAGGGGAAGGATTGGGGTCAGAATGGGGCGTTTGCAATTGTATGGGGGAATATAAAAATAAAATTTAATATTTAAAAAAAAAAAAAAAAGAAACACACCACATACCCGGTTCCCGTGGTACTGGGACCCTTTGGTTCTATACAGGAAATAGAAGACCGCCCTCGATTTTACAATGCCTGCTAGGCCTTGTTTTAGTTACCTAGCTTGACTGCTTCAATCACGTTGTATTTAGCACCTGTTTCTATTTTCTGAATAACATACATCACCTAGGAAAAATATGTAACCAAGTGACCAAGTTAATCATAGACTAGGAAAATTAGAAAAAGGATTGTGCACTGTTAATGATCACTAATAATTTCTGAAACAATGTAAAAGCAAAATCACATGATTGCATGATGTAATGATCAAATAACAATTGCTGATGTATAAATAAAGGCCCACTGAGACCCTCAGCTGGAGATGTCTGCACCCTGATCAAGTGTCAGTGTCTCCTCACTACCTCATCTACCTCATTTCCCCTCCCCTCGTTCTTTCACTTTGTCTACACCATCTCATCCTTACGGAAACCCGGCCCCGGTCGGAGCTGGACTCTGGCACAGGTGTCTATCATCCTCAATTTTTTTTCAATCTCCAGGGTTGATCTTAATCTAAAGAGCATTCCACCAATGCGTATGTAAAAAGTCAACTGTGGCCCTGGTCATAAAGCCCTACTTGGAAACTTAAAACAAAAATCTTTTCTAAGCGCTCCATGTGAGCAAACATTAAATACCACCTTGCCAGAGCACCCATGTGTGCTGCTCCTGCTAGCCTTCGAACACTGAATTTAGTGGTAAACTGGACTCTGTTGCAGTGTCCAGTGAACTCTATCTTTTGTTTATCTTTATTCCCCAATACACAGTACATGGTTGGCCCTGATAATTTAACCCTTAACCATCATTAAAATAATCTGCATATCAGAAACCAGGCTGACAGATGGTTACACGGATTTTTCTAAGACGTCTGAAGGACTTATAAATCCTTTGCTCTCTTCTTTGTATTCCTATACAGCCCCCATAAAAGGCCATCTTCTCTATTTCACCAGGAGACAATACCGCACCTGATCTAATCCAGAGACTCTCCATGAGCCTCCACAGTGGTCTCCCTGCCTTAGGCCCCAGACTCTCCACTTAGCCCTTGTTACGACTAACACCCGAATCTTGCTATAAACAGATTCTTTATCCACAGCAATTCTCATTTAGAAGGCTGGAATGGGGCTAGGGATGAATCTCATTTAGAAGGCTGGGATGGGGCTGGGGTAACAGTAATGTCTACACAGTTACTAAAAACATTAGTTGAACGATAAACCACAAATTCCTCAGACAATGCTAAAAGCCTTTCAGAAGCCCGCACCCAAATAGACTGACCCAAACTTAGCTTCTAGTCCCCAGAACAGACCTTCAGGTACAGCTATTCCTCCTTCTTACTTATCCCTCAACGGCCTTGCCATTCATTCCTGTTGCGTCCCTTGCCAACATCCCTCATTTGTCATTCCACCTAGTTGGTGTATCCAAACGCCCCCCCAACCCCAGATCCTCAGGGGATCCAGCTCATCACAAACCTCAAAAACCTTTCAATGTCTCAAAATAACATACCACACCATGCTACCCCCTGTTCCTACATTGAGCAGCATGAGTTCATGTGTGCATTTGGGTGGCTGTAAACCTGTTTATGTTTGACCGAATATCCTAATACTAAGCAGTGATCTATAGCTAAAAAATTTTGAGGGAACTAGAAAACACAGGAAACTGAAAACTATTTTAAAAGTTGTATATTCAACAACATGCTAATGGCTAATAATTCTGTCTGGTGCAATTTTCATTTCAGGTATTAATTTTTGTCAACTATTAAAAATCCTGGTTATGAGTCCACGTTTCTGCAGTATTTGCAAGTGCAAATGTGTGCTTGACATTGTAAATGCGTCGTTATTGATAAGCCACATGATGGTGTCACGCTTTAGAGTGAGTTTCATTCTACTAGGCTGTCAACTTACAGGTGGATCAGGCTGATACTGTAGAGATGCGGCTTGGACTTTGTTATGAGAGAGCTACAATGACCCACACTGTGTATCTAGAATCCCCCATTCCTCAACTTAACACCTTTCTCAACTCATATCTGAAAGCACAGGATGAACAGCAAGTTCTCCCCACAATGGACGGCCTGAACTCCAACACTTCTGAGACTTTGGCCACTTCTGCAATCTCTGTTCAGCTCACTGTCCCACAGTAGCAGCTCCCTGCCAAACCTCGTGGTATGCACAGCTCCATGTCTGACCAGGGGCTCAACAGTACTCTTCCGATTTCTGGGACTCCTCAAATCTCTCTTCTCCAATTATCCAAACCCACAAATTCTAGCCACTTTCACAACTCTGAATTCTAATCTCTGTTTCCTCTGCTCAGACAGTCCACTGCTGTCTAGATTTTATGTCCCTACCCCACAGTTTGCTAACTGGGAGATCTGGAACTCATTCCATGTGTTCTCTTCTCTCCACTGACTGTGAAAAGTGCCTGAGTCCATTCAGTTTTAGAGTTGCTTACAGCAGGAGGTAAACTTCACCATGGCCAGAAACAGAAGCCCCTAAGTCTGACTATTTTTGACATCATTTTAAAATCTACTATTGGGACTTCCCTGAGGGCACAGGTGGTTGTGCACCATGCTGTGAAGCTGTCTGTAGCCTCTGCAGTGCAGGTTCGATTCCTGGCTGGCCAGGGAGATACCCACACGGCGTGGTAGACTTCTCCCGCTGCTCCCCTCAGCAGTGTCTTTGGTCTGTCTGCCTGTTCTGTTCCCTGCTCTGTCTCTGGTGAATCCTCTCACCCTCCCGCACATCTGGCCTGTACCCTGGTTCTTGTATAAATAAGTAAATCTTTAAAAAAATAAAATAAAATAAAATCTACTATCTTAGATTATCCTTACAATAAACCTGTGACCTGAAAAGCACATGAGTTCCATGACAGATTAGGAAACCGAGATAAAAATGTCAAATAATCAGTTTGTGATCAAGAAGAATTTCAATCAACACACAAATATTTATCAAGAACCTACCATGGGCACATGGTAATTAACTTGGTGGCAAAACAAACTCAGGGAATAGAGTTGCAACCTATGTTCTTCCTAATGAGCCATCAATAAAGCATAAAAAAAAATGTTTATGAAAGATTCAATCATTCAATCTACCAGGAAGGAACATGCCTATACTTTCAAAAATGACTATAATTTACATTCATGATTTATTTTTTCCTGCAAAGACTCCTATTTGCCATGAAAGTAATTTCATTTACGCTGTTATATTTTTCAATTCCCTACATATACTTAATTTTCTCATTAGTAGGTACTGTCTAACCAAGTCATTTCTATTTAACTAAGTTAAATTTGTTTCAGCTAACTCTTAATCGTATTTCTAATTTTCATCTGACCAAATCAAATGTATTTTCCTGGCACATGAAGATAAAATATAATAAAATCTCTAAACACCATCTCTGCAGCATCATACCAAACAGTAATATCATCCCTCTGATCTTCAACAAATCAAAGTGATACATTTAAGTCTTACAGATTTTTTTTTCTTCATTTCTCAAAACAAGCTCTTGACCTGTCATTTACCCCAGTATAGGCAAGAGTTGGTTGAAGCACAATGATCACAAAATTAGACTACAAGCATGAAAATAGTGTTTAAAATTGTTTTAACATTGATGACCTTAATATATGATTAATCCCATTGAAGTAAGACACACTTTAACAGAGTGGGACTCTACAACCTCGATTGCTACCTATTGAGAAACTGTTCATCATTTTTAAAGCCTGGCAAAAGAAAAGTTGGTTAGAAGGTCTTTTGAAGATGACAGAGGTTCATGACATCTACAGCATCACCTTTGAACAGCAACCTCACTTTCTCACTCTGTTTATGATTAAAGGAATATTCGGGGTGGCTGATTTATTGTTGCTACTGTTTCTTTGAATCAAGAAGGCGGCCTTTGGAGAAACACCTACCTGCAGAACATTTTGGATCTTCACCCACACATCTGCCATGTCATACAGCTTGACATCTTCTTGCTGGGTCAGGGGGGTCACCACAGTGTCTTGTAGGTATCCCAGGACCACAGAGTGCGCAGTGGCGACAGCATTAAACTTGTCAAACAGCAACTCCAGCAGTTCTAGAAGCAACCTAGTGAAGCAAACAAACAGCTAACATTTATACACAACCACACACGGGAAAATGGTTTCCACTGGCCTATAAGAAAATAAAACATGAAGTAGCAGAATACAATGTAAACAGCACAATGTTAGATTTCAACACATTTTATTTCAAGTAAAAGTAGGGTCTCAGAACTTTAGAAAACTCATCTAGGCCTCAGTTTCCTTGGCTATGTAATGGAAAAGATGTAAGAAAATGACAACAAACAAAAAATAAATAAGAACAAAGGAACTGACAAGACTAAGCCCTAGAAATACAATGGTTGAATTGAGGCTAAGGGGGTAGGGGGTTGGGTGGGGAGCCAATGGCTTATCTCAAGGACTGTGGGTGTCTGGATGGTGGGGGTGGGGAGGTAGCGTACATATGAAGTGTAAATCACATACAATATTACAAACCAATGCAGCCACAGTAAAGAAAAAATTAAAATAAAAACTAGTTATCAATTCACTAAAACAACAGGCAGTTCAATAAACACTTTTCCTTTTTAACATATTTCAGTGATAGCAGTACTACCACCCTGTGTCCCTACAGCCAGCTTCTCCCAGGAATTCAGGCAATTTTTCACACAACAGTTCAGATGTTACAAAGAATCTACAATTTCCTAGCAATAAATGGGGCACTTTGGTAAGCACACTAATCCTTTTAGTTGTGGGAAGCTGAGCTCAGTACCATTCAAACATGTGGCCTAAGTTGCCTGAAAAAAAAATCCACCCCTGCCAAGCAATCTCACTTTCACCACAGGGGGCAGCTTAGACATCCGCATTAACTCATTTTTCATAGTGAGAGATGCTGGACACATATGATTACATCAATTTTATAGACTCAAGGACACGAGATGAGGTTGCACAGCAGCGGGGCCTGGGACAAGGTTGATTTCCACGTCAGTGCGTTTAGCACCTTATCTACTAGAACACAAGTGTATTTTCAGTGCATTTAGCACCTTACCTTCAAGAACGCGAGTGTATTTTCCAAGGTGGGGAGGAGCTTTGTGCCGTGGATGCAAAGTAACTCCTCCATCACTGAGTCTTAAGTTTTACTCATCACCCAGGCTCGACTCATTTTTCCTCCTCTCAACTCTATAGCATTTCACCCCACTCCTAAGGAGCTTCTCACATGTGGCTCCCCTGTGCCATGCAATAAAAAAGCAAACCACATTTATTTACAGTCAGAGAGTTTACCTCCTTTCTTTTATTAGGCTTTTGGTGCAGGCACTGCTTTCCTACGTGTCTTTATTCTCAGGAGCAGTTAGAATAGTGATCAGCAAATATTAGCTGAAGGATGTAATATGTGTACCATGAATGACTATAGAAAATTTTGTAATGGGCCCTTTATTTTGTATTGTTTGCCTCTTGTTTCACATTTCATAAATAGACTTATAAACCATCCAAGAGGGTAGAAAAGGAAAGCAAAAGAGCTGGTCAGCAGTGTCAATTAACAAGATTTTCTTACCATAAATAAGAGGTTCTAACTACAATCTCATCAAAATGTATAGCATATTATCTAGTCCTATGGCTTCTTTATAGCCCAATTATTATAATTAATGTGCCAACGTGACAGCCAATAACTATCTTACGGTAAAACCCTAATATCTATTTGACATTTTCATTTAGATGAGACAGAATCGATAAAAATTTATGCAGTGCTCCCAGTCTAGAATATACATATATAATCCAGAAATTACATATTGTAATTGTAGATAGGAGCCATTCTACCTTTTGAATGACTTCTTTTATCTTTAAAGGTCAGTTCATATTTATATTCAGATGTATCTAAAACAGTTCTTTCTCATCCACGTTACTGGAAAATTCCTCAAGAATCAGAAGAGATAGTTACAGAGGAGAGAAGCCGTGTCTTACATAATAGGTGAAATACTTAATTCAATGTAGAGAACCACACCAAGAAAACACCTGATGAAGTTTGCACTTTCCAAATAGAGATTTATGCTGAGCATGGGTGCCTGTGTCTCCTAAATATCAATCCACAGACCCTAATGTGTTTTTCAGTGGTAGATGGCAGATTAAAAAAATGGAACCATGTAAAGACTTTTCACAATGTTATATCTGTTATTTTTTGTACCCTCTTGGTAAAAAAAATCTTAGTTATTTTCTGTCATGATGACAGTTACATTGCCAAAAAATCCTTACCTGACAAAACTTAATAACCATTCGTTATACCCCAACACTCTGATATCATACAGTCAGAAGCCTGAGGAACACTGGTTTCCAGCTTCCCAATGATATCAAGTCCTAGGTCCAGGCCCACAAACCAGCAATGAAGCAGCAAATGCTGGCCAAACAGCAGCAACTGTAAAGGAGAGGTGCTGCTGACTGGTATGTCCAGGGCCGCCAAGCTTATCACCGCAGACTTTGACTGCCAGTAAAAGGGCAACTCAGCACCCAGAGGCAGTGCTCTATCTAGAAAAAAGAACTAGTGGGAAAGTGACATGTTAGGTGAGATCCAGGGTGTTTAAGATCACGGAGATTACAATCCCTTGATAAAATGTGGATGTCAGGCCAATTTCCGGCACTCCTGGATGCTCAAGGTGAAGGCAGACCTGTCTTAGGTCCATCATAGATGCAAGACATGCTACACAGGAAAGAGAGGGCAATCCAGTGTTAGCTGGGAAGAGACAGGCCTGAGGTTGAGAGATTCTACTTGCAGTTCTGCCTACACAGAAACATCCACCTTACTACAGCCCAATCATGGCACTATTAATAAAACTCATTGCTCTGACATCAAGATTAGAAGTCTTTGTGCTACCAAGGATGCCATCAAGAAAGCCAAACAACAACCCACAAAATGGGAGCAAATGTCTGCAAGTCACAGATCTGGTAAAGTCTTTATAATTGGAATATTTAAAGAATTCTTACAACTCATAATAAAGACAAACAATTTAAAAATGGACAAAGTGTATGAAAAGACATCTCTCCAAACAAGATAGATGAGTGACCAATAAACAAACAAAAAAGCTGTTTGACATCATCGGCCATCACAGAAATGCAACTCAAAACCATCTGGAAAGAGAGACACTGGGTCTGGATATGGACAAGCTACGACTAAGTGCTATGGACTTAGCTACTCGGAGACACAAGTCTGAAGCTCAGAAGAGAGACTGATATTAGACGTTTTAAAAGCGATAAATATTTGAGTGGATGAGATCACCCAGGGATAATATGCAGAGCAAGAAAAGCAAGCAAGGCCCAGAGCCAACATTCCCAGAAATAGCAGCGTTGAGAAGATGTAGAAGGAAGTCAGGAAGGAAAATTTTAGAAGACAAAGGAAAAGAGAATCTCAGCAGCCAAAGGTCAGGTAAGGTAAAAGAGGAATTTACAACTCACAGAGCCCCAGAGACCTTGGCCAGAGGGTATCAAGAGACACTCTGGAAGCTGAGCTCAGCAGTGCATTGAGGACTGAATGGCTAATCAGGAAAATAAAACCAAGGCCAATCACATGCTGTGCCAGCTTTCTTCATCATATACATTCTTTAAAAGAAAAAAAAAAGGAAAAAGACTGTACCCTGATGCATCCAAGAAAGAGATTAGGAATCCACTGACATACACAGGACATCCATCTGCCCTAGTCTGCTCCAATTTAAAACTACCAGAAAGAAATATGTTGTTAATATTCATATACATTCTCCAACTGCCCACACAAGAATGAGAAAATAAGTGTTTGCCTTTAGCTGTAGACATACTCAGGATGACCTACATACACAAAGTCTCACTAAAATCATCGCTCCACCCCACTCTCACCACAAAGCATTAAACCTGACTAAAGAAGAAATAAAACATTGCATTACAGTTATCTCGGGTACTCAAAGCCTATGAGACTTAAGGTTCTTACCACTGATCTAAGAGACAAAAGAACAGGCAGAATCATTAAATTACTGCACGATTCCTTAAAGTGAATTGAATTAGAAAGGCCTCATATACCCAATGGTCTAGGGTAGAGGCGAAAAAAGAAAAGGCCTCATCCAGGAATAAGCCTAAGGACCTGAAATTTTCAAGGAAATGTACTTTCTGCTCTTTATAATCTCTCTCTCTCTCTGTCTCTCTCTCTCTGTCTCTGACACTGACACACACACAAACACACAGAGGTTATTTCTAGGTGACTGAAAGGTATGTGATTATATGAAACACAATATCACCATTGGTGATGAATAAATAAACACAGAAGAAGAAATAGTGGTTCGGTGATGTGGTATGAACAGGGGTTCAAAGGCCTGGCACTGGGAACCCAGCTCTGACACCTGCCCTCTGCAGAACAGCATGTAGCACAGAAGCTGTAAAGGCCTTAAACTGTCCAAAATCTCAAGTTCTGCAAACACAAATTTTCCTCAATTAGACATTCCTAAGCACAAGTTGATCATGGAAATTATAAACAAAGATTTATATAGAAGTATATTTTAAAAATTTCAAAATAACCTTCATTTGCTTTCAGTACCTTTAACAGTTACAGGGGTTGGAAGGCCGCGGGCGGGTGAGAAACCAGAGCTCCTCCAGATGTTCCCACAGCCAGCTGCCTCTTCTTTCCTACAGCGCAGTCAGTCAAGTCGACTTGTATTGACTCCATAAGAGACAATGGCACCATTCTAATAAAACTCCCCCTTTAAGTGAGTTGGAGTTGGGTTCTGTCACTTATACAAAAAAGGGGCTGAATTCATGGAGTAGGAGCCAATTCCTCCATTCCTGCCATTCCTCCAAACAAAAGAGACAATCACGAGGGCCAGAGTGTGTGCCCCCCACCCCTTGGCTAGCCAGGGCAGCGTCCCTGCTTTAGTCGCCATGTAATCACACCTTGGTCTGATGGCATCATCCGATGCCCAGAATGGAGAAAACACTCAGCTGGATTTTATGGATGACTGAGTTCAGAGTAAAAGAATGACCCACGCAGGCATGAGTGTTAGAGTCTAGGATTAGACACCCCATCCTGGAGTCCTCGGCACAGAGCTGGTGGCCAAAGCTGGCATA